CCGCCCTGTCGCAAAACGGCGCGAGTTAGCCGCGGAGGCGGTGACGTGCGACTGACCTCGTTTGAGACCCCCCAGTTCGGCCGAACTGTTATCTCGGACCCGACACACGAATGTACACATTTCCATCTCGTTCTCATTCCGATGGTGCAATCCGTACGTCTGTAACAACAACGACAACGACGACAACGTCACATCGAGCCCGGTTTAAGGCGGAGACTGCGAGGAGGTTCAGGAGGTTAAGAGTCTCACCTGGATCTCAAACCCAAACGTTTCGGTGTCCTGCTTCTCCAAGTAGATAACTTTCCTTCAGGACGAGAAGAGGAAAACAGGGTTAACAGGGATCTAACCCCTGAGCCACAGGGAACTCCTCAAAGAATGATACCAATCTTATACTCCAACTTACTTTTCGTGCTCAGAAGCTCCCGTCAGCGATCGCCATTTCATCAAAGACCCCTGTGAGGACCAAACGCGACTGAAATGAGACCTCGGTTTGTCAACAAGATCAACAACAAGTAACTTACATTTATTTCTATCGGGTCTTCCACGTGCGGTAGTGTCCAGTGAGTTTGCCTCACACTGAACCTGACAAGATGGCACTTTCTCCTCAACACACGAGAGATTTTATCTCTTCACCAATAACAATAATAATCCTTGCCTTTGACACAGCGCCTTATCACGTTGTCGAGAAGCCTTTCCAGAACTTCACTGTAAAGTGCGGGCAACTGTGCGTTTGGTGGGCGAACAGCGACGTCCCCACAAACATTCGTGGAGCGAGTGAGTGAGCGAGTGAGAGAGAGAAAGAGAGAGAGAAACTCCCTTATGCCTTCATATTTGCTGCCAAAACCCCCTTAAAAGGATATCGTTTGGGCCGTTCCTTTGATAAATGCCTTACAGACTCCCCCTTGACTCCCCCTCTGAGCTCCCCAAGGTGTACGTGAGATGATCTGAGATGTTGGGGACGTGGTGAGTTTGCCAATTGACACGCTCAAGATACGGTGACGAGGGTTCAAAAGCTTTGTGTTTGTAAACAGGAACTCCAAAGGGCGAGGCTGGGTCTTTAAGGAATAAAAAATTCCTGGTATGAGTATGTCTACATTACAGTGAAGGAAATTCTTCACATTAATTGGCTTCCCTGGATATGTCTCGCTCTGTGACAGATCTAGTAATCCACGCCTTAAAGTCCGGCAATGATCCTTGCATTTCCTACAGCGCCTTATCACGTCATCGAGACATCTCGATAAGGCATTGGGGAGTCCTGCAGCTCAGGGATTAGACCCCTCGCCTCGCAAGCGAGAGACCTGGGTTCAATTCCTGAGTGGAACAGGTCAGGGCAAAACCTTAGGGAAGTTTCCTTACTCCACACACACACACATACACACACACACGCGTGTGCACGCCTCTGTTCACCAGCAGTAACTAAGAACCCGGTTGTTAGTCGATTGGCGGATCGCTTTCCGGGGATAATAATCCCGTTAAAAATAATAATAATTTGGTCACTTCAATGCGCGGCTGTTTGTGGGGACGCTGCTGTGCGCAATTGGCTGCCGCGTTTCGCCCACAAGAAGCACAGTCACTACACTGTACAGTAGATCCTGTGAAACTGGTTCCGACTTAGATTCTGCCAGACTTCAGAGCGGGCACAGGACTATTGTGGTTTGTTCCATTGGAATAACATTAGCCGCGAGCAGAGATATTTGAATACCTATTTATACAGGGAGTCACATGCAGTGCATGTCAGGCACACACAAGCCTTTGTATTTTCAGTTGACGAAGGCAAGAGATTTACATGCAAGCGGAGGGGTGGGGGGCAGGCACGGGGGGTGTGGGTGGGTGGGGGGGGGGGCGGTGTTAGGGCAGAGGAATCTCATATGAATCAGACCTGCTTAATCCCAACCCCCCCCCCCCATCCACCACTTCCATTACCCCCCTCCCTCTCCCCATCCCTCGCCCACCCCACCAAAGGCAACTCTCCAGTTCAGATCTCTGAGCCGAGTGAATAATCCTTTCGCTGTGATTGGGGCTCAACAACAACAACAACAGCAGCAGCAGCAGCAGCAGAAGCTCTCACACACACACACACACACGCGCACCCCTCATGCCATGCAAAGCCGACTGATTGTTTCTGGGGGAATCGTTGGCCAAGACACTGCGAGAGAGAGAGAGAGAGAGAGAGAGAGAGACTCTCTTCTCTTTTCCCAACAGCGCTGTGGCCGATCTTCAACATCCACTTGAACAGAGCACAGACGGGGAATGAGGTTTCAAGCTTCTGACTCGGAGGAGGCGAGAGCGTGAGCGACCGAGGCCAGGCTGGCACTGAGACGAAAGTTAAATCAACGTGGAGAGGAGAGGAGGGGAGAGGAGAGGAGGGGAGAGGGAGATGATTCGGTCTGACAGGATCGGGGACTGAGGAAATGACTATGGCTGAGTCTTTGAGGGAAGATTCCAATATCGTGCCCGGCTCAATCTGCTTCCAATCAGACTAAAATATAATGAAACCCATCTCACAGCCTCAGAGATAGTGGCTTCTCCCCACCCACCCACCCACCCCACCCCCGCCCCGCCTTATTCAGCGGGACTCAACAACAACATCCCCGACTGTTTGTGGGGACGTCGCTGGGTGCGATTGGCTGCTGCGTTTCGCCCACAAAGGGTCACTCCACATTACAGTGTTATCCTGTGAAGCGCTTTGAGACGTCTCGAAGATGGGATAAGGCGCCGGGTCAAATGCCAGGATTATTATTATTATTACATTCATCCGTGATATATAAGGTCATGGACTAAGAAAAAAAAAAGGGGTTTTGTTTTGGAGAGTGAGGTGTCAGCATTGAGTCATTAACAGTGAGGAGACGGACTTCCCTCTTTCGGTCCTAAATGCTTCACTGCAAAGGCTCTTGAGGGGAAGTGAAACTTTGCACAGTCACTGGGTGAGCCTCAGCTTCACCACAACAACAACAACTTGCATTTAGACTGCGCCTTTCATGGGCAGGTTAACCACCTGAACTGTGTCCGGATGAGGCATTCTGTTTGTTGGGATATTGATAATAAATAATAATAACAATCCTTGCATTTGATTGCGGCGCCTATCGCTTCTCGTGGGACGTCTCGAAGCCCCTTCACAGGATAGACCCAGTGCGAAAGGCGCTGCGTCAGACACAAGGCTTATGAATCATTGAATCTTACAGCGCAGAAGGAGGCCATTCGGCCCATCGTGCCTGTGCCTTCTCTTTGAGAGACCTACCAGCTAGTCCCACTCCCCCAATTCCCACCCCCCCCACCCGCCCCTCCACCTGCTCTCACCCCACAGCCCCCGCACATTGTTCCTTCTCTCTCCAATTCCCTTCCAATTGAACTTGTAATTGCTAAGGTCCCGCTGTACTGTCAGCGACAAAAGGAAATGCTGGGGTCAAGAGCCAGGCTCGCCATTGTGTCCAGACTCCACAAAAATAGTTTTCCCATTAATAATCCCACCTCTGGTTGGGATTCTAAGGAATTTGAGATTGTTTTCAAACCCCATTGTTCAATCGCCTCTCACTTAAAAGCGGAATAACTTCATTTCCCCCCCAAAAAATGCAAAAATAACATTTCTTTTTATATACATATACTTAAATATATATAAGCCCCACACACACCACCCCCCCCCCCCCCCACACCCCACACACCACACACACAGACGTTTTATATACAGTATTTATACAGAGGAGAGAGAGAGAGAGAGATCAAGGGAAAATGGGGCGAGATATCTGGAGAGAGGTAGATTAGAGGAGAGAGAGGGGGAGATAACAGAGAGAGAGTGGGAGAGAGAAATCAGAGGAGAGAGGGAGATCAAGGGATAGAGAGAAAGGCTCAAAGAGAGAGAGAGAGAGATCACAAGTCACATTTCTGAAACAAAAATGATCCAAGGAGAGAGGGGAGAGAGAGATCAGAGATTTGAGAGAGAGAGAGAGAGATCAGAGGAGAGAGAGAGAGGAAGAGTTGAGGAGGAAGAGAGCTGAAAGAAGAGAGAGATCAGAGGAGAGACAGAGAGAGAGAGATAGAGATCAGAGGAGAGAGAGGGGGAGAGAGATCAGAGGAGAGAGGGGGAGAGAGATCAGAGGAGAGAGAGGGAGAGAGATCAGAGGAGAGAGATGGAGAGAGATCAGAGGAGAGAGAAAGAGAGAGGGAGGGAGGGAGAGAGATGGAGGGAGAGGGGGGGAGAGAGAGAGATGGAGGGAGAGGGGGGAGAGAGGGAGAGGGGGGGAGAGAGAGAGATGGAGGGAGAGGGGGGGAGATAGGGAGAGGGGGGGAGACAGAGAGAGATGGAGGGAGAGGGGGGGAGAGAGGGAGAGGGGGGGAGACAGAGAGAGATGGAGGGAGAGGGGGGGAGACAGAGAGATGGAGGGAGAGGGGGGGAGAGAGGGAGAGGGGGGGAGACAGAGAGAGATGGAGGGAGAGGGGGGGAGACAGAGAGAGATGGAGGGAGAGGGGGGGAGAGAGGGAGAGGGGGGAAGACAGAGAGAGATGGAGGGAGAGGGGGGAGACAGAGAGAGATGGAGGGAGAGGGGGGAGACAGAGAGAGATGGAGGGAGAGGGGGGGGGAGAGTTTGGCTGAAGTTGACTTACCTGTTTGGGATTTCGAGGTAATGTCCCTCCAGAGTAAGCGAGAACCCTATAGAGATCCGACTTGCGCGTCTGTGTCTGTGTGTGGGGGTGTGAGTGGGTCTGTGGGTGGGTCTGTGTGTGGGGGTGTGGGTGGGTCTGTGTGTGGGGGTGTGTGTGGGTCTGTGTGTGGGGGTCAGGCTCAGACTGGCATCTGTAGCTGCGAGTGTCAGCTCTGGAGTCCTGGTCGGTGGAGATGGTGGGGATGGTGGGGATGGAGGAGATGGTGGAGATGGTGGGGATGGTGGGGATGGAGGAGATGGTGGGGATGGAGGAGATGGTGGGGATGGAGGAGATGGTGGGGATGGAGGAGATGGTGGGGATGGAGGAGATGGTGGAGATGGTGGAGATGGAGGAGATGGTGGAGATGGAGGAGATGGTGGAGATGCTGCTGTCCTGGTGGTGACGAGATAACCTCTTCACTCTTTGGAAAGTCATATCCAAACTGAGGTCATAGCTCCAAACCTTCCCCTCGAGTTGAAAATAATATATAAATAACACACACACACGAGAGAGAGAGGGAGAGAAAGATCAAAGGGAATCAGAATTTTCTTTCCAACCAGACTTCTCTCTCTTCTCTCTCTCACTCTCTCTTCTCTTTTCTTTCGTGTCCACCAAACTCTTTTTGTCTGTGTGTCTCTGCGTCTCTGTGAGTTTGTGTCAACGGAAGAACTTCTCCCCCACGTGGTAAAATAAAATACTGGTCAAACAGTCCTTTATTACTGCTTCCCATTCTGATATCAATCTTAACACAAACACACCCCCACATACACACACACAAACACACCCCCACATACACACACACAAACACACCCCCACATACACACACACAAACACACCCCCACATACACACTCCCACACATCCCCCACATACACACTCCCACACATCCCCCACAAACACACTCCCACACACACACACCCACATAGACAAACACACACACACCCACACATACACACCCCCACATACACACTCCCACACATCCCCCACAAACACACACCCCCCCCACAAACACACTCCCACACACACACCCCCACATACACACTCCCACACATCCCCCACAAACACACTCCCACACACACACACCCACATAGACAAACACACACACACCCACACATACACACCCCCACATACACACTCCCACACACCCCCCACAAACACACACCCCCCCACAAACACACTCCCACACACACACACACCCACATACACACTCCCACAAACACACACACGAATACACACACACACATCCCCACACCCACCCACACATACACACATATACACACACCCACACACATACACACTCCCACAAACACACCCCCCCCACATACACTCCCACACATCCCCCACATACACCCCCCCCCACAAACACACACCCCCACATACACACTCCCACACACCCCCACGTACACACTCCCACACATCCCCCACATACACACACACACCCACATCCCCACTCCCACACACACACCTCCACATTCCCACACATACACACTCCCACCCCCACTCACACACCCACACACACCAACTCCTCCTCACCTATTCTATTGACTTGTCTTTTTTTCCCCACCTGTACAATTAATTAATCGATTACTGATAATCAATTAATCAATCAATCGCTAATGAATTCATTCATTGATGGATTGATGATAATCCTTGTGTGAGACCCTGCGCCTGTATCACGTCTTCGGGATCCACCAATCGGCTAACAACCGGGTAAACAGAGGCGTATGTGTGTGTGTGTGCGCGTAGAGTAAGGACACTTGTCTAAGGTTTCGCCCCGACCTTCCCGGGAATCGAACCCGGGTCCTCTCGCTTGTGAGGCGAACTGAGCCACAGGACCCCACAAATTTAGAAAAGCAAGTGGAGAACGGCATAAAAACTGCAAAGCTCTCCCAGGCTTCACATCCACAGAGGAACACGGCCCAGAAAGTAGGAAGTGTTGTCAAACAGCATTGTACATGAACCACATTTGGGAAATGGGTTCAGTTTTGCTTTTCAGACGTGAGGAAGGACATTGTGGCAATAGAGACAGAGAGAGCACAGCGGGGGGGGGGGGGGTTGGGGGTTTGGGGGGGAAGGTGGGGGGAGAAGAGGGTCAGCCGAGGAGGAATAAGATAGGACACAGAGCGAGCAATGGTAGACCTGTAATGAGAATCTTTGGCCATTGCCGTGAACTGGTGATCCCCCAAATTCCCATTGTAATAATAATAATCCTTTATACTCGATACAGCGCTTTCTTCTCCATCGTCGAGATGCCTCAAAGCGATTCATGGGATTCGCTGTTAAGTGTAGTGACTGTGTATTTTGCGGGCGGAACGCGGCAGCCAATCCCGCCCGGCGGAGTCCCCACAAACAGCCGTGGGTTGAAGGGACCAATTTTGTTATTGTTTTCCTTAAGGAATTGTTAGCGTAGAGGAATGTGACAGAAAATCGCAAAAACAAGTGAGAAATAGGCTCTGATGTTTCTAATTTAAATTTCAGAGAAGCCGGACTTTCATTTGATAGTCTCTCTCTCTCTCTCCATCCGTTGCCCCCCCCCCAATCCCCAACTTTCCTTCCTCCACTGAGTGAACAAGGTTTATAGTTAAGATTCTTTGATGTTGGGAGGAAATGGGAGGGAGGGAGAGAGAGAGAGAGCATCTGTTTGTAATGAGCAGAAAATTAAACCTTAAACCAGAACTTTGTTGCTTCTCAGTGACTCAACGCTGCTAATGAACTCCTGCTCTCTTCCTCTCTCTCTCTCTCTCCCCCCTTCTCTCTCTCTCTCCCTCGACTCGTGGACAGTCAGTGACTCCCTCTATCCGTTGCAGGGGTGAGATCAGTGAAGGCTGACAATCCGATTAAAGGGCACGAGACCTGACCCGTAGCAACACATGACATTTACTCGGAGCCTTTCACGTCGGAAGGACGACCCAAGGCGCTGGACAGTCAAGGATTTGGACCCGAGCTGGGGGTCCAGATCAGGAGGCCGGTGGGGGGGGGGGGGGGTTGGGAACAGGGAGGGTAGGGGTAAGGCAGGGAGGATCTTGAGATGGGCCTTGAGAGACCTTGGGGGCAGCCAGGTTTACATGGAGTTAGCAGATCAGGGAGGGAGGAGGGGAGGGAGGTTGGAGTAGGAACTGTCCACTCTCGCTACTAGGCTACTGCAATCGTAACGCAGCCCATCTGGTGACCCTCTGCTGGGGAGAAAGAGCGCAAACTGCATTCCCCAGGGAAATCCATGTGAATGCGAAAGCCTCAGCAGTTTGGTTCGGAGACTGAGGCAGGGACTGTGAGTGTGTCAGAAACACATAGCGACCAAAATAATACTCTGTGGTGAGCGTCTGCGTCTGCGTCCGTCTGTGTGGTTCTCAGTCACTCACGTGTTCCATCTTACAATGTTTCTGTTTTTTATTCTTCCCTCTTCTGTCTTATCCTATTCTTTTTTTCTTTCTCTCTCACTTTCCTCACTTCTCTCTCTCTCTCCATCTCTTTCTTTCCCTCTTTCCTTGGCTTCTCTCCAGCTTTGCTTGTTCTCTCTGTTTCCGTCACATCAAGGCTCGATTATGGAAATTCCCTCCTCATCGGTCTTCCCAACTCTTCCCTTCACAAGCGGCAGATCATCCAAAACTCTGCAGCTCATGGACTCTCGCGCACCAGACTCTGCAACCCCACCCCGCCCCCACGCTTGGATCCTGAGCCCTGACTCCAGCGCCTTGGGACGTCCTCCCAACGTGAAAGGCGCTTTACCAGCGTAATTTGGTACAGTATTGTATTATGTATCTTCCTCACTTCCATCAGAGCTGTTCCCCCTTTACAAAGAGACCTTATAAGGTGAGGTGAGGTGACCTTATAAAGAGTATAAGGGGTTACACAAAGATGTGGGAAACTAAACAGGAACGATACTTTCGGATGAAATTATTTTTCCGAATAGGAATAGGGAACCAGGGTTAAACATCTCATCCGAAGGACGGCAGCTCCAACAGTCCAATCCGATCACCGCACTGGAGCGTCAGCCTCAACAGTGTGGGTTTCAAGTCCCTGACAGAACACTATGAACCCACAAACTTCCAACTCCGAGGCCAACCGAGCGAAAACACACACACATTGGTAATAAACTGAGTGAGAGCTCCCCCTGGTGCGAGCGGTGGCACCCACCGTCCAGGACTCTCGTCGCTGGAATTCCTTCGAATAATAATCCTTGCATTTGATGTAACACACAATACGGTGTAAAGTGCAGTGACTGTGCCATTTGGTGGGTGAAACGCGGCAGCCAATTGCGCACAGCAGCGTCCCACAAACAGCCGTGGATTGAGCGACCAATTTGGAGGGATTTTTGGAGTGATTATTACTCCCGGAAAGTGATCCCCCAATCGACTAACAACCGGGTTCCTACCAATAGCTGGTAAACAGGGGCCGTGCCGTGCGTGTGGAGTAAGGAAACTTACCCGGGAATCGAACCCGAGTTCTCTGCCTTGCGAGGCGAGTGCTCTAACCAATACGCTACAGGACTCCAGTTTGTATTAATGCAAGAGGGAGACGGACTCAAGGATCTGAGGAGAGACGGGATTAGAGAGAAGCAGGTGGAGGAGAGAGCAAGTGAGGTTTTGGAAGGAGGGGGAAGAGATAGAGAGAGACAGACACAGAGACACAGAGAGAGGGACACAGCCTAGACGGTGAGCTCAAAGTCCCGACTCGCCGCGGAAGGGACATCAAGCGAGCGAGACGCACGCAAAAGAAAATCACATCGACGAACATGTGAAAAAATGTCTCTTTATTGTTTAATATGTACAACCTTTTGTGACAGACACAATATACGAGTTAAAACAGTCATTTTTTTTAAATATACAGTATATGTGTGTGTGTGGTGTGTGAGAGGGGATCGGAGTGGGGGAAAGAAAAATGAGCCCAAAATCTTGTTGGGTCTCACGGAGAAAACTGGCAAAGGGGGTGGGGGTGGTGTCTGTCTCCCGAACATCCCCCCTCAGGACGCACAATAGGAATTCAAAGCTGATCCGGAGTGTTTTTAAGCCAAAATAATGTAATCAGGAATTGAATAAAGTTAAATTAACCCCCACCCCCCCTCCCCTGCCCTACTCACCCCCACCCCCCCTCACAGATTGAAGCTCATTTCCAAAAGACACCCCCACAAGACACAAGGCAGAGAAAAAACTCTACAACATTCAGTCCACAAGTCTCCAGTCTGCCAAGTAGAGAATTTCTTTGCCTCCCCCCCATTTTGTGTGGGAGGGAGGGGAGGGGGGGGTGAGGAGTCAGTACAGCATTTAAATCCTTCTTAGCAGCATTAAGAATATATATTTTTTAAAAAATGAAACCGTTTCCTCTCTGCGATAGCGCAGAGACTGTTATCAAATGAATCAGGGGGCGAGAGACCGTGTGTGCGTGTGTGTCTGTGTGTCTGTGTGTGAGAGAGAGTGTGCGCGCGTGTGTGTGAGAGAGAAAAAACACACACAGCAACAACAACTCTCTCTCCTTTTTTTTACACAGTAGTCATTGAACGTATTACCAAGGCGGTCAAAAAAAAAAGAACACAATCATTTTTGTTTCACATCAAAACCAAAGTATTTGCATTTACAATAATTTCGACTAGCAATACCGTGAGGTAAAGTGTTAAAATACAAAGGGAGCTTTCAGTAGTTTTTGCTAAGAGAGAGAGAGAGCGACAGAGAGAGAGAGAGAGAGAGCGCGGAGAGGAGAGAGAAAGGGACTGAGAGACACAACAGTCAATAACTCCACTATCCTATCATCGCTCACCTCCATCAGTGGTCTTCAATGCCATCGTCAACTGAATCCAGTGTTTGATCAAATAAAGGGGTTGACACACATAGTGTTTCAGACCAGTTCTCCCCCATCCCACCCTCAGAAAATCTCTCCTCTAACCCAAACACAGGCAAAGACGTTGCCCTTTTAACGAGTCCGGAGGGTGAGCGCCACCTCGAAAGCCAAACCCCACCACCTCCTCACCTGTCAGCCGTCATTTAGTGCCTCCAATATGGCCAAGGGTAATGGAGAGGAGAGGGGGGGGGAGAGGGGAGAGGGAGCGAGAAGGGGAGAGGGTACGTTTCACATCTTTCCCAGCAGGTTTGACAAGAATAGTACAAATTTAGGGCAAGGCGGGGTGGGGGTGGGGGTGGGGTGGATGTGAGGAGGGAGTGTTTTAATGTTTGGGCTCGTTGCCCCCAACGCACATTCTGGGGGTTCTCCCCCCCCACCAACCCCTCCAAAGCCTTTAAGGTGTGAACTAGGGCTGAGATTTTCATAAGGAAAATGTCCCATCGATCATTTGTCCAGTTAGCGACTCGCGAAGACTACAGTGGTTGAGACTGCGGAGTGGGGGTGGGAAAGCTAAGACATTGTAGACTTGTTTTGCTTCTCCCCCTACCCTTTCCCTCCCTCCCTCTCCACCCACACACCCACCCGCCCTCATCTTCCTCCCGCAGCCCCCCCCCCCACCCCCGCTCACCCACCCCGCACCCGCCCGCCCGCAAACAGGCAGCAAAGAAAAATACCTTCCAGTTTTACGTCTCGTCAGCCGGTTTCTCTCCCTGTGCGAGTGAGGTAGACTTCACAAGCTGACGATTATTTTTTTGCAGGGGGTGGGTGGGTCGCTCGGAGTCTTGGAGGACCTCATTCCCCTCCCTCCACCCCCCCACATCCCGTTTCTCCCCCCCCCCCCCCCCAACCGTTAGATCTTGATGTCCTCCTGGATACTGAGTTGGGATAAAGCCTTCTTGATGCGTAAAGCGTTGAGCCGGGCTGAGCTATTGGCATACCAACATTCCATCATGATCTTTGCCATCACTCTCAGCACCTGGGTGGGGGTGACGGGGTGGGTGGGCGGTGGGGGGGGGAAGTGGGGGGAGTGGGGAGGAAGGGGGGGGAGAAGGGAAACAAAAATCACACAAGGGAGAATCATCAACGTTCGGCCTTGCGATTGGCCACTCAGGTCATCCGATATAATCACAATAATATCAGTAATAATCCTGGGGTTTGACCCGGCGCCTGATCACGTCTTCGGGACGTCTCGAAGCGCTTCATGGGATACACCGCAAAGTGAAGTGACTGTGTGTTTTGGGCGCGAAACGACATTCCAAACGACGACAATGGCAACAGCGAATTGGGGGTGAGTGGGACTAGTTGGGGGAGTGGGAAGGGCCGAATGGCCTCCTTCTTCAGAATTGTATATTCTCACCTCGTTCGATTGCCAGAAGTTGGGGATGTTGGGCCTGAGGTTCTGCTCACAAACCACCTTCCTCATCTCCTCTATGGAGGGGTCAGAGGGCACGAGGTCAAAGTACGGTAACTGATATTCCTCGTGGACTCCTGCGGGGACAGAGAAAGAGGGAGTCACAGATTATCATCCCTGGAAATCCTTCCGAGTTCCTTACTTGCTGCTGGGCCAACAGGCGTGTGTGTGGAGGAAGGAAACCAGTAGAGTAAAGCGGAGTAAAGAGCTCCAGTGAGGGAGCGAGGCCCCAGCATAGAGATGATGGCGAGAAAGAGAGAGCGAGAGAGAGCACAGGGGAATGGGGTTAGAGTAGAGAGCTCCAGTGGGGGAGTGAACCTCAGCACAGACATGATGGCGAGAGAGAGAGAGCGAGAGAGAGAGAGAGCGCAGGGAATGGGGTTTGAGTAGAGAGCTCCAGTGGGGGCTTCCACAAGGGAACAGACAGTGTAGGACAGTGAGATGGGGGGGGCGGAGGGAGGAGGGGGGGGGTGGTCGTGAGGTTACCTCCTGTGGAACATCTGCGTGCTGTCTCCCAGTACACCAAACCCAGGGCGTAAACGTCAGCGCATTTGAACGAGTCAAAGTGTTTCATGTTGATTGTCTCGTCCAGCACTTCTGGGGCCATGTACCTTCACGTCATGAGAGAGACATTAACGTCACCATCAACACAAAACAAACCGAAAATAATACATGTGTGTCTGTGGAGTAAGGAAACTTTCCTAAGGTTTCACCCTGACCTGCCGGGGAATCAAACCTGGGTCCTCTCTCTCTGTGGTGAGGTGAGGGGAGACGAGGGCTCTCACCCCTGAGCTACAGGGGGAGACGTTACGCCACACGAAGGGTCCCGAGCAAAATCATTCACACTAATAACCGCGAATGGGACGTTCCAACCCAAGCCCACACCAGCCTCGCCGACCACTGCGCCACAGGGACTAACACAACCAGCGATATAACGTAAACTCCACCAGCGAGGGAGGGAGGGGAGGGGCAGAGGAGGGAGGGAGGAAGGGAGGGAAGGCGGGAGGGAGGTACCGTTTGGTGCCCACTCTCTGATTGGGGGCGATGTCGATGGTGTCAGTGAGTGAGTCGTGCCTCACAGCGAGGCCCAGATCCGCAATGGCGCACGTCCCGTTCTTCTTCACCAGAATGTTCTTCGATTTCAGGTCCCGGTGAGCGATCCCCGGTTTCCCTGCGGAGCGGAGAACCCAGACTCCTCATTCCTAACCTCTCCCAGCACACCGACAACAACAACAACTTGCGAGAGGGGGTGGGGAGGGGCGCGGAGGCCCCAACTCTCCTCGGCAACGGGTACTGGACAATCGGGATAAAATAAGACACCTGTAATGACGGTGTAAAGAGGACTCGGGAGTTTGTTTCGGGGAGTGAGCGGCTGATGGTGGAGTGGACGGTTTGAGGGACAAACCGCGGCCGGAGGCAGATGAGCAGTGAGTTTTAATGTCTCATCCGAAGGACGGCACCTCCTCAAGACAGTGCAACACACACACACTCACCCACACGCTCACCCACACACACACTCACCCACACACACACTCATCCCTACACACACTCACTCACCCACACACTCACTCACCCACACACTCACTCACCCATACACACACTCACCCACACACTCATTCACACATCCACACACTCACTCACCAACACACACTCACTCACCCACACACACCCACTCACTCCCACACACACACCCACTCACTCCCACACCCACACCCACCCCCCAGCGCTGCACTGGAGTGTCAGCCCCCGACCTGCGCTCTTACCCTGAGTTCCCACGATCTCCATGTGCAGGTGGGCGAGGCCGCTGACGGCCGAGAGCGACAGCTTGATCAGCCCCTCCACCGTCACCGTGTACCTGTTCAGGTAATCGAACAGAGAGCCGTACTCGTGGTAATCCGACACCAGCCACAGCTGTGTCCACGTCCCATTGTCTGTCCGAGGGAGAGGGAGAGGGAGAGTCAGAGAGCGCAGTGCAAACCAGTCACCCGCGCGGGGTCTGTTGGTGGGTGGAACGCGGTACAGCAATGTCTCCCGCAAGCGGTGTGTGGGTGGAGGTGTGGTGGGTGGGTGCGTGTGTGGGTGTGAATGTGGATGGGTGTGTGGGTGGGCGTGTGCTTGTGTGTGGGTGTGTGTGTATGTGGGTGTGTATGGGTGGGTGTGGATCGTTGTGTATTTGTGGGTGGGTGTGTGTGTGTGAAAGAGAGAGGGGGGAAAGAGAGAGCAGAGAGAGGAGAGCGAGTGAGACTTGGTGTGTCTCACGGCACGGACCCGGTTTGTACGCCCACGGACTCGCCACTCGCCTTTGTTGTCGGCCGCGATGAAGCCGAGGATGTTCTCGTGCCTCAACATGATGGTCTGGTAAATCTCCGCCTCCCGGAACCAGGACCGTTCCTCGCGGGAGGAGAAGATTTTCACCGCCACGTCCCCTCCTCGCCATTTCCCTCTCCACACCTCCCCAAACCGACCCTTCCCGATGATCTCCTGCAGCACAATGGTCCTGGCGATGGTGCGCTGGACAAACAGGGGCAAACCTGCAGCGAGAGGGAGGGGGAGAGGGAGAGCGGTAGAGAGAGAGAGAGAGAGAGGGGGGAGTGATGTAGAGAGAGGGGTAGAGAGAGAGGGTAGGGAGGGAGAGAGAGATGAGGGAGAAAAAAAAGGGATGAGAGAAAAGGAGAGAAATGGGGGGTGGGGGGAGAGAGAGAGGGGGTGGTGGTGGGGGGGAGGAGAGAGAACATTTACGTTACATGCACGGACATTTACAGCACAGAACGAGGCCATTTGGTCCATCGAGTCTACCCCAGAGCGAGCTGTCCATTCAACACCGCTGCCCCGCCCAATCCCCACACTCCCCTTCAAGCCTCGGTGGGGTGAGTGGGGGGGGGTCGGGGAAGGGGAGGGTGGGGGGGAAAGGGAGGAAAAGTGGGAGAAAGGTTAGCGAAAGTCCCCAATAATGGTAGAGGCGTCCATCCGTACCAGAGCCCGATCCGGAGGTGGTCATATCAAACATGAGGTCTTTCAGGGTCTTGCCCTCGGAGATGAACATGTGGTCGCATGAGGCCTCCTCGATGTCCAGCTGGTTGCGGTGGTGGTACGCTCGCTGGTAATGGCACAGGAATACGGTGACCATCAGCAGCAGACACACCAGGAAGACTGGCCCGGCAATCACAGCCGCCAGCTCCACCGGCCCCCACCCCTCCACCTTCCTGCCTGAGGGACACAGCAAAGCCAACAAGCACACAGTCACTTTGGGCTTCGTCGTACACAGATGTACAGTCACTACACTCCAAAAAACTAACAATATCCTCACTCAATCTGCACGTGTCTGTCTATTTAATGTGTATTTGTTTGTTTATTTATTTACCCCCCAGCCCGGGTGCGTATCTCTGACTGCGCCTTGGGGCGTCCTCCCGATGTGAAAGGCGGTTTACCAGTGTAAGTTTGTTGTTGTTGTTTGTGGGCGCAATCGGCTGCCGCGTTTCACCCACAAAATATATACTGTACAGTGTATCCTGTGAAGCGCTTTGAGACGTGATCAGGCGCTGCATCAAATGCCAGAACTATTATTATTATTATTCCTCCCCAATGCCAGAGTGTAACACCCCTCCCCATGCCTTACCCCTCGGCAAGCTCAGTTCCAGTTTGTTACAGAAGTCCTGGTAGCAGCAGATGGTGGTGACGTAATCCTCGTTACTCTGGCAGTAGATGGGGGGCACCAGCTTCTCTGCCGAGACGCACAGACGGATCTCGTGCTGGACCCCATTGATGCGAGACAGGGAGGCCAGACATGCCCCATCCGTCTCGCACGTCTGGTTAAACTTCACACAGTCCTTGCAGAAGCACTTCAACGCTGGACAAGAGGGGAAAGAAACGGAGAGAGAGAGAGTGAGAGAGAGAGAGAGCACTTAGCATATTGCGTGTCGGGTCAGCGAACGTAGGAATTTACCGGACGTAAAAGAAGGCCGAGGAGGTCCGATCCAGTTCGGCTTCAGCCATCCTGGCAGTCGCTTGATCAAACATGTCGTGAACCAGACACGTCGTGTATCTCGCCTCGCGAGTGAGAGGACCTGGGTTCGATTCCCGGGCGGGTCAGGGCAAAAACCTTACTCCCCACACGCGGACTGGCCTCTGTTTACTCAGTAGTAATCAGGAACCCGGTCGTTAGTCGGTTGGCGGATGGCTTTTCCGGGGGTAATAATAATTTAGCCGCTCAACCCACGACTGTTTGTGGGACGCTGCTGTGCGCAATTGGCTGCCGCGTTTCGTCCACAAATTATATTCACTTTACAGTATATTCTGTGAAGCGCTTTTGAGACGTCTCAATGATGTGATGGGGCACTGTATCAAACACATATTATTCTTACTATTATAGCACGAGGTTCAACCCTCAACCCAACCCGATAATCCTATATCCTCTGCTAATGAATACACCCCTCCCCATAAAGTGGGTGGGCGGGCGGTGGGGGTGGGAGAATGAAGGAGAAAGATTATTTCTACACCAACTCCCAGGCAGAAAGTAGCAGAGGGCGAGAGAGAGAGAACACATCTCCCACCCACTCCTCTTTGAGGCTGATGGCCAATGTGGATTTGGTCTCATTGCTGACCTTTTGGAAATGCCACAGACCGAGATACCAGACATCAACACTTTAACCCTTCTACGGGGCGGGACAGACATTAAAAATAAACCACAGAGAGCGAGAGGTGACAGAGACAGAGACAGAGAGAGACAGACAAGAAGACTGACAGACAGACAGCGAGCGAGAGACAGAGGGAAAAACGAAGAGATAGGAATTAAAGCCAATCCTAAAGCCAATCCTAAATAGACTTCACCCAACTGTGGAACCAGAGGACACAGATTTAAGATAATTGGCAAAAAATAATCACTCAGACAGTTTTTTACGGACTGGAACATAGGCCTGAAAGGCTGGTGGGAGCAAACTCAATAACCGCTTCAAAAAGCGAATTGGATCGGGACTTGAAACGAAAAAAAATATGTGAAGGGCTTTGGGTTAACAGCGGCGGGTGGTGGGGGGGCGGGGGGGGGGGGGAGGGCGGGTGAGTGGGACTCGTCGGTGGCTCTTTCAAAGAGCTGGCACAGGCCCGATGGGCCGAATGGCCTCTTTTCTGCACTGTCAAGGTTGTACGAGCGGTGGCGAGGAGCACATTCCAGCAGGGGTCAGTACACATCAATGAGCAGATGATGGTGAGACAGGACAAAGGGACACAATAATAATAAATAATAATCTAATAATAAATAAAGGATAATAATAATAATAACCCTCGTGTTTGATACATCCCAAGTCTCTGAGCTTTGCAGTACAAATCCCATGAGGCGCTTTGAGACATCGGAAGCTGCTGTATCAAATGATTATTATTATTGTATTATTTTTTAAACAACAACAACGACGTGCATCGCTAGCTCTCTGAGACGCCGCTGGGGCAGTTGGCTGCCGCATTGTGCCGCAAAAAGGAATTGGATACAGAGCCTCGTCACGTCTTCGAGACGTCTCAAAGCGCTTCTCAGGATCCGCTGTCAAAAATGAAGCGGCCTCCGAGTGTTAATCATCCAAACCCACTCCCTTAATGGGAATGTGCCCCAACACCAACCGCCTCCAGCCTCCAGAGAGAGCGCGAGGGAGGGAGAGAGAGAGAGAAAGACTGCACCCTACTTCCTGGGTGAAACTTTGTACCAACGCATTACTGGTCGGCTCTCAGTCACTGTGAGTCAACAACATGTCTGACGTCGTGGCCTGGAGCAGAGAGGAGGAGGACACAGACGGACAGACAGACAGACGGACGGACGGACGGACGGGCAGTCGGAACCTGGGAAAAAACTCTGGGCAATTGTTGCAGTAAGACAGCCACACCTGTCAGTGCCTCCAGGTATGAGGCAAGATTTTTTTTCAAAGGAGGGTAGTGATAGCTGTGCAGCCAATGTGCTGTCACTCGTGTGCGTGTGCGCGCGCGCGTGTGCGCGTATGTGTGGATGGGGAGGGAAAGGTGACCAACTAATTCAATTTGGCTCAATTACCTTTTTTTTACCAACAACCGGGTTCCTACTTACTGCTAGGTAAACAGAGACGCACGCGAGTGTGTTTGTGTGTGTGCATGCGCGTGTGTGTGTGCGCACGCCGCGCACGGAGTAAGGGAACTCGCTCTATCAAATCCACGGATTATTTATTTTTATGATATAAATTGAGTTCTCCCAATTGTTCTGTCAGAGAATTATCCCTCCACCCCCCCCCCAACTGCTGTGAACCTGGTCTACCCTCCTCTGGCCGGGAGGGGGGGGGGGTTCGCCTCAGTCACACCCCACCCACCATAAGAGGCCATTCACGGTTACCGTGTGAGCTTTGGCAGAGAGTGGCGCTCAGTCAAAGCACCAGCACTGACCCCACGTACCCTCTCAGTGACACGATCTGTCAATGAAACACAGGTGAGCAGTTTGCCAGATACAAGACCTTTAACCCCAATTGAGCGAAGCACTTGACCTAACTCTTCACACACCCAGCAAGGAGCCACGTCGGATCAAAGGTCAATGATTCCCGTTCCTACCTCCGCCTTGTTCTCTTTCTCTTTCTCTCTCTCGCTCTCTCGCTCTCTCTAGCTAAGCCGGTGTTGGTGACTGCGCACGCAGGTTCCATGCATCGTTGCATCCTCTCAACCTACAGCTAAGGTGCAGGGATCACTCTCGGTACAAGACTAATGAATTATCAATAATAATAATAATAATGATAATCCTTGGACCCGACACAGCGCCTCATCACATCGCTGAGACGTCTCAAAGCGACAGAGTTATACTGCGAAGTGAATTGATTGAATTCTGTGGGTGAAAGGCGCAGCAGCCAATTGCGCACAACAGCATCCACTCCAACAGCCGGGGATTTGAGTGACCAAATTAATTTATATTTTCAAATAAAGCCGGGCTTTGGGAAACCCGTCGATGGCTCCTCTCTTGTTCTCCCTCACTGAACAGGTGGGTTCTCTCTCGTTCTCTCTCTCTCTCTCTCTCTCTCTCCGGAGAAGGAGCACTAATCAGCTTAAAGGCAATTGGTTTAGCAATTCTGGGGTCAACAAGAAGACCTCAAGCAGCGTGGGGAGGGAGGGGGGGAAGTCTTCCACCCCCCAACCTGACCTACTTCTGTTACTAAGTCATTGTGAGTTTGTCAACATTCTCAGTACTCGCCTCTTCACAAAAGCATTGACCTGCCCACTAGTGAAGTCCTGTTGTGAACTGGTTAGAGCACTCGCCTCGCAAGCGAGAAGGACCCAGGTTCGATTCCCGGCCGGGTCAGGGCGAAACCCAAGGCAGGTTTCCCTATTTCACACACACACAAACCCACACACACACACACACACACACACACTCAATCCACTGTTGTGTCACA